TCCCTCCAAAGTCAATAGTCTTTTATTCCTCAATACAATCCATTCTTTCACCCAAGTGAGTACCGCATCCTGATAATATAATTCCCAATTTGGTAACCCTTCTTTATTTCTCGCATCTTGCAACATTTTAAAATGTATTATTGCTTTTTTCCCTTGCCAAATATATCTTAATATTACTTGATTGAGTTCCTCAAAATATTTTTCCCAGTTTTATCAGAATTGTTTGAAATAGATATCTTGGCAATATATTCATTTTATTGTAGATATCCTCCCTATCAGTGATAATTGTAGGTTTTTCCATTTCTCCAGATCTGTTTTAATTTATTGCATCAGTTTATAATAATTATCTTCCTTAATAGTTATACATCTTGCTGTCAAATTAATCCCTAAGTATTTTACCTTCTTAGTAATCTGAATACCTATTCTCTTCATTAACTTTTTTCTGCGTATCTGAGAGATTTCAGTTTTCTCTTTATTTATTTTCAACCCTGCCATTTCGCTATATTCCTCTGTTTTTTATTAGTTTAGGCCCTGTTTGTGGATCTTCCAAAATGAAAACTAAATCATCTGCAAATGCCTGTAATTTATATTTTTCTTTTTTTATTTCCATAATTTTTATCTCTTTATCTTGCCTGATATTTCTATTTAGTATTTCCAGTGTCACTATGAATAGTAGCGGAGACAAAGGACTAATGTGCTTTCTGACTGAACAACCATTGACAATGTTAGACCTGCTGCAACTTAAACTCTAAATAGAAATGTTCCTTGGCGCCATTTGTTGAGAAAGGTATAATTTTATTAGAAGTCAAGCGCACTGCACCAAAATCCCCAAGTTCAACTTTTCCCTCCCTTAGCTGCCTCCAATTGCTGGCCCAATCAAGTTCAAGCAAGATGTTTCAAGAATGATCACTTCAAGCATAGGTTGGTATGTAGCTGCATTCTTCTCCCAGCAGGGTGACCTTGAAGCAGCATCTCGATGAGATACAGCAATTACTTTCATTTCCCCCCAAGCGTCTCCTCTCCCATGCACCCTCCCCAGAGTTCATGGCAGACTGTCACTGCGTCGTATCGAAGCCTAAGCGAGTGTGAGGTGGCAGCTGACAGGTGACCTGATCTGCTCCTGTAAATAACGTGGAATGGCTAAGAGAGGTGAAGCTGCACTTGAAATGCAGATAATAGGACTCTTCAAAGGCCCTCTAATTCCTCAACTGCAATGTTCTGTCTTGAATTGTGGCCTTTATCGTTTATTTTTTTAGATTTACGTGCTGCCCTTTTTGCACAGAGACAATCGTTTTGGAATACTTTCATTAAATATGTGTACCGAGCAGAAATTTTGTTGGAAAACCATATGGGCAGGACAATGAAAGGAACTCCAGCAGGGAACCATCCACCCTGCTTTGAAAAAACCGTGGGAGCTTCTGTCAAGTATTTAACACACCAGATGAAAAGATTAAGAATCAAGTTTGGCAGCATCCCCGAGTTAAGGGATGCACCAATAAACTTGCCTTCAAAAGCATCCGGATGAAAATTAAGGTTCAGGCCTAGCAATTTCAAATAAAAATGATTGTGCCTCTGAGCATGAGCAATTTCAAATAAAAATGATTTGTGCCTCTGAGCATGTTCAAGTAGACTTTGTTTCCCTGGTAGTAGAGAACCCTTCCTTCCTTCCTTCCTTCCTTCCTTCCCTCCCTCCCTCCCTCCCTCCTTCCTTCCTTCCTTCCTTCCTTCCTTCTCTCTCCCACCCACCTATATACTTACTTACCAACCATGATTTAGAGTGATGTACCGCTTTACAGTGCTTACAGCCCTCTCCAAGTGGTTTACAGAGTCAACCTATTGCCCCCAACAATCTGGGTCCTCATTTTATCCACTTCGGAAGGCTGGAAGGCTGAGTCAAACTTAAGCCAGTGAGATGATCTCATTGCTGGAAACTCAGCCACCAGAGAACCTTCAGCGTGTGTCCCAGATTATGGATTGCATTTGGTCTCAACTCTTGGTGTTTTGGCAAATGGCAACATGTGTTCCTTTTGCCATTTTTTTTTAAAAATTACCTTAATTATGTTTATTTTAATTTCTGATTTGGATAATTGCCTTGACTTCATACTTATGTTCTATAGTCTGTATTTTTAAAATTGTTGTGAAAGCGCCTGAAGTGTTTGTGTTAAGAAAAGCAGCCAGGGTATAAACAAATCTGGAGATTATTATATAGGGTGCTTTTGGAGATTTGATGTTTCCAAAGCAACTTATGCCAAGGCAAAATGTTTCCAAAGCAATTTATGCAATCCAACCTCTGGAGTTTCCTTCCTGAAGCGATTCAGATGCTAGAGTTGATAAGGAAAGCACTCCCCTCATTCCACCCCTACTGTGGGTTGATTCTTGAGAAGCCATAGTGCCCAGAATGATACAATATGGTAGACTTCCTGGTTGCCAAGAAGATGACGTTGATGCAATTCCTACAATTCAGCCTCTTCGAGATGTCTTAAGACAAGAATTCTGGGAGTTGCCGTCCTACCTCATCTGCAGAGTAGCAGAGCTAATGGCACAAATAGTTCTCAACTTACAATCATTCATTTAGTGACTGAAGTTACTGTGATAACCCAGGGTGGGATACAAAATAAACACAGTCGCAAAAACAGGTGAAGCCTCTTTTATTCCTTCACTTTGCTCCAAAGTTCCAAATATCCTTGACTGGAGACAAAAAACTCCCCCACAAGCAGTTACGAAAAGGAGGAAATGCCGTTTAAATTAAAACTGCCTATAAATTGTAAAGAGTAAAAACAACACAAACCACACTGAAACAATTAAAGGAACCAGGCAGGATAAGTGCTTGAAGATGTCCACAGATATCGGAACATACACTGGGAAGGATGCTAAAGTCAGGTAAGAATGGAAAGACTAAAAATATTTTCATGCTTTGTTTCCAACACTGGCTCATGCTCAGTCTGTCCTTTTAACCAGTTCTTACAGCTGCAGCCCATGAAGGGGATTAAGGCCCTTTCCTCCCCCGTAGACCATGCCATTCACGTTTCTCCCTTATCCTCTCCTTCCTACATGCCCTAGGATGGAGAGGGAATAGGCCTGGGTCTTCCTCTGACTACCCAGCCGGCCTCTGCCCTTCCCCAGCCTCCTCCACAACCTCCAGACTTCCACTCCCTGTCGGCTGTTCCTCCTCTCCCTCAGAGTCAGTCTCTAACAGGGGCATAACAGTTACAATGACACTGAAAGAATTGACTTATGACCATTTTTCATATGACCATTGTAGTATCATATTTTTCATATGACCATTGTAGTATCCTCATGGTCACGTAATCAAAACTTGGATGCTTGGATGCTGGTTCATATTTGTGATGATTGCAGTGTCCCGGGGGGGTCATATGATCCCTTTTTGTGACCATCTGGGAAAGCCAGATTCACTTAACAACCATGCTGCTAATTTATCAACTGCAGCGATTCACTTAACAGCTGTTAACTCAAGGACTACCTGTACGTGGAAATGATTTTGGGAGACAGGAGAGAGATTTGCAGACGGGACATATAAAAGATATCTCAGCCCACAGAAGGAGGGAGGGACGGGAAACATTTCAGAAGGGAAATCCTTAGTTTTCTGGAGAGCAGAAGGAAAGGAGGGGAGAAATACCTGTTAATTCTGTTAATGTAACCTTGCACTAAAGACAGAGCTAGCCTAGCACGCCTGGCAATTGGTTTGGACTACCTGGCAGGGTTAACACATGTTGGGGAAGGCTGATGTACATCATGGGTTTCTCCATGAAGAAGAGGCTACGGCCATGGATTGCAGAAAAGGAGAGTCAACCAGTCAACCATCATCATAAGGTGACTCCGGTTAAAGTTTTTCACTTCCAGCTTCAGCCATCTGTAGTGGAATGTAGTCTGGATTCCCAGGAGGGAGCGGCTGCATCCCAGAGGAACAAGAGACAGTGAAGTTTAGATAGTTGGTTGGGAGAAAGAGAACCAAGATGGTCTTTCCCAGGAGTTTTCAGAGTATATGTTTAATGGTGCAAGTAGTTTGCTTTAGGCTGGAAAGATTTCTGTCTACAGGTGAGGAAACTGCTTAGAAGAAACTGTGTGTCTTTCTTGGTCTTTGAGTTGACATCTTCGGACTATCTGGATGCCAAGCTTTACATGCCCTGAATGTATAGCACAATCGACAAGAATTTGTCCATTTTGTGGTGCATTTTCATATTCATATTTTAATCAGTTCAAGCTGGTAAAAAAACCCACAGTAGCTCCTGTGAAGGTGACATGTTCATGGTTGGCTCAAGTCACAGATGATTAAATCTTTCTTGCACCACCTCCCCACCTCACCTTTTTCTGAACCTGACCTTTGGATCATAGATTAATCATCCTTCAATTGCTATTCAGTTGCTACACCATTAAAAAAGGCCTGGAATATGAGCAAAAATGGGGACGTGGTGGCTCAGTGGCTAAGACGCTGAGCTTGTCGATCAGAAAGGTTGGCAGTTCAGTGGTTCGAATCCCTAGCGCCGCGTGATGGAGTGAGCTCCCGTAACTTGTCCCAGCTTCTGCCAACCTAGCAGTTCAAAAGCATGTAAAAATGCAAGTAGAAAAATAGGGACCACTTTGATGGGAAGGTAACAGCGTTCTGTGCGCCTTCGGCATTTAGTCATGCCGGCCACATGACCACGGAGACGTCTTCGGACAGCACTGGCTCTTCGGCCTTGTAACAGAGATGAGCACTGCCCCCTAGAGCCAGAAATAACTAGCATGTATGTGCGAGTGGAATCTTTTCCTTTATATTATGAGCATAGCTAGTTTCAACAATTGTATCTTGGTCTGCTTTGGGTCTGTTCCAAATTATAGGATTTGTTCCTTTCTTCTCAGCAAGTTCCTGAAGGCTGCTGATGAAGGAGAATTTGATTTTGTTTTGTTTTTAAAAATCTAGAATAGCAGTGTTTTTCCAAGTGACAATCACACTTCGGAGCCGCTTGCTAGAAACCACACTAAATGTTTACATGGATATAAACTTGGTTTTATTTAAACACATAATGAAAATTGTATTAAATTAGTTCAATTACAGTAACATCTTATTTCCGCATTTTTATTTCTTCCCCACCCTCCTATTAAAAACCACAATTTAGCAGCAATTTTTAGAGAATTCTGCAGGTCATAGCTAAAGATTGGAGGAATAAAGGCACTTCGGGGCTAAAAAAAATGGCAGCATTTCTCTGTCTGTAATTGGTTTCACAATAGACCTGTTAGCCAGTTAGTTAGTTAGTTAGTTAATAGGTAGGTCTGATTTACTTGAATGGAAGACCACAAGGATGTCCAGGGATGTAGGCTAGACTGGAAGAAGTCAATGGGAACCCCTTATCTATACCACTGCTAAGGAAATAACCTGGAATCATCAGAGGAATGTATATTCATGCCTATAAATATAGAATGAATTTTCTTTCTCCATATTTTTGGGAAAAAGTTCTAGGAAGATTTGGAGATACCTAAACTATTGAGAGAAAAAGAGCTGAAATCCTGCTTACATTTTATTTGGGTGCTACCAAGGAGGATGGACGTGGGCATTTTATTTATTTGGGGCACTCCTTCCCAGATGTTCAAGGCAAGACATCTTTTGCACAATGGCTTGTGTCCTTGAAAAATTCATCAACAATAGCAACTAAGTTGTTTTATCAAATATGTACCTCTTGACTAGAAGTTGAGGCATGACAACTGGACTTCTTTCCTGTTTGGTTTGAAAGGTTTCATTGCTTATCCAAGTAGCTTCTTCAGTTAGAGCAAGTTGGTTAGGGGGATCCCGTATATGTTTAGTTAGTTGGTTCATTAGAGAGTGTCCCTAGCCAACTTCCCAGCTCTCCACAAGTTCCCTGATCCCCAAGGTCAAACACAACCCTGATGCGGCCCTCAATCAAGTTTGACACCCCTGCTCTACAGCATAGAGGCACTGATGGAAAAATAAAGCTACAAACTACATGTCAAACAATGCAACAAGCTTCCCTATCACATACCTGGTCTGGAGGAGGCAAGAGGGGAAATAAACTGTGCATTGTGATGCTGTTGATGGAACAACCTTCCTCTTACAGTTGATTTATTAGGTTGTTCACAAATATATAAGGTGCCAAGCTTGTAGTCTTGCTGTGGCATCACAACACACCTATCATTTTGATGAAATCTTTGCAGCTACCTCATGTACCATACTACATAGACTGTGCTGCTCCTCAGTATATCCCAATCCTGTCCCTTCACTTGATGTTTAGTAACTTGCTCAGACTGAAGAAGCTACTTGGATAAGGCAGTGAAACATTACAACTGGAAGGAAAATCGGTCCAGTTGACATGACTCAACTTCCAGACAACTCTACCTGGGTGACTGAGAATTTTCATTGACATGGATCTCTTGAGTTTCTTCCAGTTGTATGATTTAAGATGAAGTCCAGGAGATGAGAAAAGCGTGGCCCTGCTTCAGCAAAAGAAGGAAGAAAGGACTGGATTTGCATTTTCTTCGAAATTGCCTGAAGGAATTGGCCAAGCCGTGCTCCCATTAAGCAACAATTGGGAAAACAGCATCAGTAGTAACACCGCAGTTGTTGTCTTTCATGGACATGAGAATGTAACCATCGTTGCCCCAATAGGTTGACCAAGAGTTCTTGATGAGCCAGTAAAGCTCCCCTTGAAGGACACCATAACCAACAGCCAGGACAGCATGATCTAGCTCACCCCTCTTGTTTTCTAAAAAGGATGAAGAAAAAAGAATACACTCAGAACAAAACGATGTTTTGATATGTGTGATTAGGCAAAGGAATGCACCACAGCATCACTTAGGCTAAAAGACCCAGGCTGGGACTTTTAAATCCTGGATTTACAAAACTTGTGAAGATTAAATGGTCCTGTTTATTACTGCAGTTATGAAAATGTAGATTGTGGGCTTCACAACTGCAGTAATCAAGACTTAAATTTCTCTGCTTCTCTCAATCTTTATTGTGGTTCTGTAATTCACAATATTATCTTTTAGAGATGTGAATTACAATTAACCAATTGAGAATTCGGGAAAACTCAGTGTTATGACCACTGGCATCAAATAACGTCCATCAGCATTCTTTCTGCAATCTAAAATTTGCAAATACATGCAAAACATCTACACTCCCTCCCCCCTCCCTCCAAAACCAACATGCTTCTAAACGTTTTATATAAACAATTATAAATGTCTTTTTAAAAAAGGGTTTACATTTGGAAATTTAAAATGATCTTAATGGAGAAATATAACATTTTAGACAAATAGTTATCCAATCTCTTTTTAAAAACCTCCATGTTGAAACACTCAAAACTTCTGGAGACAATTTTTTCCACTGATTGTTCTGTCAGGAAATTTCTCCTTATTTCTAGGTTGCTTCTCTCCTTGATTAGCTTCCATCCTTTGCTTCCTGTCCTAACTCCAGGTACTTTGGAGAATAGGTTGACCCTCTCTCCTTTGTGGCAGCCCCTGAGATTTTGGAACACTGCTATCATGCCATTCATTTCATTTAACAATTCCAATATTTGAGGTGCTGCCACAGAGAGGAAGGGATCAAGCTATATTCCAAAGCACCCAAAGGCCAGACAAGGAATAATGGATGGAAACTGAACAAGGAGAGGAAATAAGGAAAATATTTCTGATAGTGAGAGCAATCAACCCATGGAACAGAAGTTGCCTTCAGAAGTTGTGGGAGCTTCATTACTGGAAGCCTTCAAGAAGAGACTGGACTGCCACCTGTCAGAAATGGTGAAGGGTTTCCTGCTTGGGTAGGGGCAGGGTTGGATTAGATGACATACAAGGTCCCTTCCAACTCTATTACTCTGTTAATCACGTCACCCCTAATCCTTCTCTTCATTAAATTAGACATTCCCAGTTCCTGCAGCTGTTCTTCATATGTTTTAGCCTCCAGTCCCCTAATCCTCTTGGTTGGTCTTCTCTGTACATAGAGTGTCAAGATCTTTTTTATATCATAGCAATCAAAAGATGCTTACCTAGTAGTATCAATTTGAATCTATTCTGGATTGGTGAGGTAGGAATGGGGAAAACTCCATTGGTTATACCTGCATTGGTTGTTTCTTAAGCTCTTTGGAACATCTATAACTAGAGTTTTGAGAATGAATGGGATAATGGATTTGCATACTGAAAAACAGGACTGTATCAGCTGGAGATTAATAGTCATAACTGTGCTGCACACATAGCCCAACGAATCTGCACACAGATCATTGGGTAGGTGGTCCGGCAGGTCTCAGCCACCCTTGCTCAAGTTAATCCAACTGGGTATTCTTCAAAGCTGGTATCCCTTTCTCTGCCCCCTGTCCCAGCTTGAGATGTTAAAGTGGCATGGAAAAACTGTGGTGATTTAATTCACAAAAGCAAGACAGAAGGAAGGAAGGAAGGAAGGAAGGAAGGAAGGAAGGAAGGAAGGAAAGAAAGAAAGAAAGAAAGAAAGAAAGAAAGAAAGAAAGAAAGAAAGAAAGAAAGAAAGAAAGAAAGAAAGAAAGAAAGAAAGAAAGAGGGGGAAGGAGGGAGGGAGGAAGGAAGAAAGGTTGGTTTTCTTCCTTCAGAATGGAAGCCTTTAGCTGTAGAAAAATGAAGGCTCTGGCTGAAATATGACACAAGTAGATTTCTCCTAAGGGCAGAATTTGGACCCAGTTCCTGTTGAGTATGAACTGCCCTCGGAATGTAATTTCAAGAATGCATCTTGATTTACCAGTTCCACATTAATGTGGTAAGCTATGGGTACTTCCACACAGAAGTATTTTTGCTCCATCAATGTATTTAAGTCCACTGTGTCATTATGTCATTTTTTGGGTTTGCTAACCCTGCTATAATCTATAATAAAAGTACATTAAAGAAAAAAAGAAACCAGAAGAAAATTGGCTCAGATACTTAAGGAAGGAGACATTGTGCAGATCAGGACAAACGTCCCATGGAGCAGGGGCTCGATGGAAACTTACTGCATTTGGGCTCGTAGTAAACGCCATTAGAATAGAAAGAGAACGTCCTGTGGGAGGCATCGATGCTGACAGAGACGGGTCCGTGCTTGTAAATGGCAGCCTTCAGAGCGGTGGTGTTCCCAGAAGTGACATTGACGTAGCTTGAGAGCTTGCTCACGAGGTGAGTCTCGTTGCTGTGACAGTAGCCATTCTGGTGGAAAGAGTATAACCCCATAGGCAAGATTCCTTGGCTGTAGCATCCATCCCCTGGACTTAGGGGCCTCTGAATGCCCTCTATGAATACAGGTAGTCCTTGACTTACAACATTTCATTTAGTGACCGTTCCAAGTTACAACGGCACTGAAAAAAGTGACTTATGACCGTTTTTCACAGTTACAACCTCTGAAGCAACCCTGTGATCAGGGGATCAAAATTCAGACGCTTGGCAATTGATTCATACTTCCACTTCACACTTATGACCACTGCCGTGTCCCAAGGGCCATGTGATCCCCTTTTGTGACCTTCTGACAAGCAACATCAATGGGGAAGACAGATTCACTTAACAACTGGGTCACTAACTCAGAACTGCAGTGATTCACTGACACATGAGGCAAGAGAAGTTGTAAAACGGAGCAAAACTCACTGAACACATGTCTCGCTTAGCAACGGAAATGTTGGGCTCAGTTATGGAGGTACATTGAGGACTAAGTTGTAAATAAATGCATAAAGATGCATGGACAAAAGCGACAGTGATGATGGAACACACCCCCCCCCGGGATTTTTTACCCCAGATTTGAAGTTTTGACATGTCCCGGGGGTGTGTGTGTTCCATCATCACTTAGAACAGTCAGCATGCAACTGGTCATAAGTTGAGGACCATCTGCTAAACAACTAATTCCCACAACACTGTCAAACTATCTAGAAAGGCAGTATTACTATCATTATTCTCATCCTCCCTATTACCTATCTCCTTATCTTCTTATGATTATAACTTTGTTGCTTGCATCTTACGATTTATCGTGTTTACTTGGTATCCTAGTATGATTTATGCTGATTGCTTATTTAGTATCCATGTCTATCATTAAGTGTTGTATCTACTGTTTTATGATGAATGTATTTTTACAATGACTATGATGATGATCTATTGCTATTGTTGGATGTACACTGAGAGCTTATGCATCTGAGACAAATTCCTTGTGTGTCTAATCACACTTGGCCAATAAAGAATTCCATGCCACACCATGCCATTCCTCCATTCCACTCCTCTATGCTATTCTATGCTATGTTCTCAGTGGTGGGATTCAATTTTTTTTTACTACTGGTTCTGTGGGTGTGGCTTGGTGGGCCCGTGGCAGAGGAAGGATACTGTACAATCTCCAGTCAGAGAACCGGTATTTGCCGGTTCTCTGAACTACTCAAAATTTCCGCTACTGGTTTTCCAGAACTGGTTCAGAACCTGCTGAATGCCACTTCTGTATGCTATGCTATGCTACGCTACGCTACTCTACTCTATTCTACTCTACTCTACTCTACTCTACTCTACTCTATTCTACCCTACTCCACTCTAGTCTACTCTATTCTGTTCTATTCTACTCTACTCCACTCCACTCCACTCCACTCCACTCCACTCTACTCTACCCTACTCCACTCTAGTCTACTCTATTCTATTCTGTTCTATTCTACTCCATCCCATCCCATCCCATCCCAAGCTGGAAACAAGCAATTGCAACCAGTGTCTCTTTCAAAGCAAGTCTTAAGCCACACCCATTTTTCCCACACATCCAGAGGTCTTCTGGATGCCCCCCTAAGAGACAGGCGTCTGTCACTCACTTGTCCTTTGTAGGGCCCATACGACTCGGTGGTGGCGATGCCGCCATGTTTCAGGATCCATTCAAACGCCTGCCACTCCTCACCACCATCGCAGGCGTAGTTCCCAAAACCCCAGGAGCAGTCGATGAGAATTTGTTGAGACAGCGAGATGAGATTCCCTGTCTGGGGAACAAAATGAAACATACTTTGCTCAGGCTTGGTTGCCTTTCCTGGCAAGGGAGCAAAACACAGCTACCAATTGAGGTTCCCAACTGCATCAGAAAAATCACCGGAAGGGCTGTGTGTTTGTGTGTATACAGCATTTCTATTTTTACAGAAAGCAGTTGCATCCTTTTTTTTTTGTTTACAGCCGGGTAAAGGTAGTCCTCAACTTACAGCAATTCATTTAGTAACCGTTTGAACTTAGGACAGCACTGAAAAAAGTGACTTATGACTGGTTTTCACACTTACAACTGTTGCAGGAGCTTCATGGTTGTATGAATTCAGGCGCTTGGCAACTGACTCTTATTTATGACGGTTGCGATGTCCCAGGGCCTCGTGATCCCCTTTTGCGACCTTCTGACAAGCAGACTCAAGGGGGAAGCCAGATTCTGTTACTAACTTAACAACTGCAATGATTCACTTAGCAACGGTGGCAAGAAAGGTTGCAAAATGGGGCCAAACTCACTTAACAAGGGTTTCACCTAGCTACAGAAATTTGGGCTCAGTTGTGGTCTAGCTGCATTGCTGTGCTTTGCAAAACAGTAATCAAAATAATAATAATAACAAAGGACGTGACCATCCTTTGGAATCCCGGACAACACAAAGTTTTGTGGAATAGGAATGACAAAATAAGGGTAAAAGTCTGATTAAATTATTATAAATACCAGAAGCACCATTCTAAGGTCTTTCACCCCCCACAAATTAGGAAGTTGGTTGTCGTCCCCCCCCCTCCCCCGCAGCCTTGGCCAAGTGTGGGCTCAGCTCAGGAATTCGTTTTCTCTGTAGGAACAGTTTTAATCTTTCTGGTTTTGTTCTGTTTCATTGCTAGAACTGCTGCTTTCTTTTTAAAAAAAGGAAAAAAAAACACCAACGGTATAATTTAGAAGACTGTAGATGGAACAACTTTTGAATATTACTCAGTGTATGTGGGTTTTAAAAAAAAAGACAGTCCCAAAAGCCTTACTGAGAAATCACGAAGAGATTGATTGGTATTTCTAAGGATCCTTAGAAATTGTTTTAAAAGGTTATATACTAGGGCTGCGTAGTGCATCCAATTTGAAGAAATACTTTGGAAGAAATATTTGGAACACGAATGTGGCAGCTTTCCCAACTGAGCCCCGAGCATTGCATTGTCTTACGACGCCTTTTTCTTGTGCAAAATAACCGACCGAATAGAAATATACAGATAACAGATAATCAGAGTTGGAAGGGACCTTATAAGTCATCTAGTCCAACCTCCTGCCCAAGCGGGAGAGCATACGCCATTTCTGACAGATGGCAGTCCAATCTCTTCTTGAAAGTCTCCAGGGATGAAGCTCCCACAACTTCGGAGTTGGTTGATTGTTCTCACTGTTGGAAAATTCCTCCATATTTCTAGGTTGAATCTCTCCTTGTTCAGTTTCCATCCATTATTCCTTGTCTGGCCTACAGGTGCTTTAGAAAATAGCTTGACCCCTTCCCTCCTCTCTGTGGCAGCCCCTCAAATATTGGAAGTCTGCTATCATGTCTCCTCTGGTCCTTCTCTTCCCTAGACTAGCCATGCCCAGTTCCTGCAACTGTTCATCATTGTAGTCTCCAGTCCCCTAATCATCCTGGTTGCTCTTCTCTGTACTTTTTCTAGAGTCTCAACATCTTCATAGTTCATACTTGTTAGATATGTTGGCTGTACAGATAGTCCTTGACTTATGACCACAACTGAGCCAAAAATTTATGTTGCTAAGTGAGTTGTGGCCCATTTTGCAACCTTTTTTTAAACCACAATTTTTAAGTGAATCCATTCTAGTTGTTACTTTAGCAATACGGTCGTTAAGTGAATCTGGCTTCCCCATTGGCTTTGCTTGTCAGAAGGTCACAAAAAGGATCACATAATCCAAGGATGCTGTGACTGTCATAAATATGAATTAGTTGCCAAGCATCTGAATTTTGATTAGGTGACCACGAGGATGCTGCAACAGTGTGTTAAAAACTGTCATAAATCATTTTTTTCCAGTGTCATCGTAACTTTGAATGGTCACTAAATGAACTGTTGTAAGTCGAGGAGTACTTGTATTCACCTAATGTTCTTTATAAAATATGCCTGACAAACCCTAACAGCTAAGGCAAAATTAGAGGCAACCATATTATGTGTTAGTGAGCTCTATGAATCAAGTCATTGGATTGGATTGTAACAGAGGTGGGAAACTATGGGCCCTTTACAACCTGTGGACTTTAACTCCCAGAATTCCTGGCTGGCTCAGGAATTCTGGGAGTTGAAGTCCACAGGTTGTTAAAGACTTACAGTTGTCCATTTTTGGACTATAATATTGATTCTCTACTTTCGCGTACAGTATTATGGGGATGGAGCCATTCCAGTGGTGGGATTCAAAATTTTTTACTACCAGTTCTGTGGGCATGGCTTGGTGGGCGTGGTGTGGCTTGGTGGGCATGGCTTGGTGGGCATGGCAGGGGAAGGATACTGCAAAATACCCATTCCCTTCCCACTCCTGGGGGAAGTTTACTGCAAAATCCCATTCCCTCCTCACCCCGCTAACCTGCTTTCCAGCTCCGTTCTCCTGTGCAGGGCAACCAAAGAAGACCCAGCCAATCACCTGGGACTTGGGAGGTGGAGAAGAGATGGGGGCGGGGCCAGTCAGAGGTGGGATTTGCCAGTTCTCCGAACTACTCAAAATTTCTGCTACCGGTTCTCCAGAACTGGTTAGAACCTGCTGAATACCACCTCTGAGCCACTCTCAAAATGCTAATCTTGATTTATGCTGTATTCTAAAATATTATTAGGTATTCATAATTAAGTGCATTACTCAGTACAATGAAATTAGGAAGAGGAACTGAATTAATTTCTCTTTTCTTATGTAAAAACTAATGCTTGGAACAAACCATTTATACTTATTAAAACAAACTATTTAAAGAATGTATTTGAAAGAGTTTGGCAACTTTAGCCATGTTCTCTCTCTCTCTCTCTCTCTCTCTCTCTAGATATAGATATAGATAGATATAGATATATATTGGGGGGGAATATTATTTCCCTCTCTGGCAAACTTATTGATATAAGTGATTATTCTATGTCCATGTTTAGCCTAGTTACTTATGTTATTTTTCTTTGGTTATTGATGCAATGCATAATGTTTATTCTGTAAATTCCACCAGTGATATTGAGTCCATTTGTTGGAAACAAGACCAGGATAGTGATATCTCTGTCTCTGTCTCCATCTCTATGGTATCTCTATCTCTATGGTATCTCCATCTCCATCTAATCCTAATCTAATCTATACCATCTATAACTATCTATATCTATATACCTGTATCTATATCTATCAATCTTTGTCAATATGAGAACAGATATTGGCAACAGAAGATCCACTTTGGTATAGTAGTTAAGGTGCTAGCCTAGAAACCAGGAGAATGTGAGTTCTAGTCCCACTTTAGGCATGAAATCCAACTGAGTGACTTTGGGCCAATCCCTCTATCTCAGCCCATTCGACTCCACAGAATTGTTGTGGGGAAAACAGGAAGAAGGAATATTAGATATGTTCGCCATCTTGATTTACTTATAAAATTGGGATAAAGATAGATAGATAGATAGATAGATAGATAGATAGATAGATAGATAGA